ATTCTTAATGCTCGCGCGAGTGTTAGCGCTAATCATGCCGCAAGCATACATCAGTTTACAGGCATTAAAAGTAAAATGCTTGAAACAAATGCGGCTTCTGGTTTATAGCTACAACGCAATTTTATACAGGGCACTATGCTACAAGTCGGAAGGTCGCGGGTTCAAATACCGATGAGGTCACTGGATTTTTTCAGTTGACCTAATCCTTCCGGCCGCACTATGACCTTGGGGTTCACTCAGCCTCTAACAGAAATGAGTACCAGGAATTAATTAAATAATTTTCCTGGGGAGTAAAGTGCGGCCGGCGCGTAGGGCCGACAACCTTACCGCCATCTTTGAGCCGATTGTCTAGATACTGTGGGACCCTCAGCGTCTCACAACCCTATGGGCCTTCGCGGCCTGGTACAGGGATAGCTTTACTTTACTTTACTTTGCTTACGCAATTTTATAGCGCTTACTTTTAATGTGTGCCTTCTGAAGATGACCCATATGGGCCGAAACATAGAAGCACTAAAATAAATGACCTCATGTATGCTACTCTTATTAAGATAATAAAGTTGTCCCTGTGCTTAACTAATTAAGCACTACGCCATGAAGACGTATGGGGGAGTGGATGTATAGATCCACATTTTCTTGACCTCGGCATTAGTTAGGAGGTTGAGTGGATCCCAGAGCCGGTCTGGAAGACGTGGAGAAGAGAAAATTCTTGACCCTACAGGAACTCGAACTCCGACCCCTCGGTCATCCAGTCGCTATACAGACTATGCTATCCCGGCTCCTCTTATTAAGATAATAATTAATACAAATATAATAGTTAAGATGTCACATATCAAAATATTGCTAGTAACAATGCATCAACAATGTTATCATTAGAAATCCCAAGATCATATAAAATTTAAATAGGATATCTTTTCCCCTAAAATTTCCTCTTATCAATAAATAGAAGCAAAAATTTTATGTATAATATGAACATGTTTATTTGTTCTACAGACTGATGAAGTTCGAAAGAGCAAGGTCCAAAGATTGTGCAGTACATTCAGATTAAACTAAATGTTCATTTCAGTTCCTACAAAGAGCAAGTGTCCCTGCTCAAAGGTGCACCTTTCACTGCAAGTGCAGACAACCCACTGGTCATGTTTGTAGCTACCTACTTCATGGCCTGCTTTTCGCTTACATCCAAAGAAGGCGCACAGAACATTTCTTCTGACTTGTTATTCCAGTCGTGAAATACACGAACATGTACTCCAGAAGTTAGGTGGCAGTTCCAGTTTAACGCTTCGAGCCCCAAGCAACAGGGAACAAGAAATTTCTTTTACAAGTGACGATGTCGCGTCTAACAGGAAGTAGGAAGATGGCATGAGTATTACGTAATTTATATCGTATTCTTCTCCTTCATGTCTTTTGCTCTTCCGTTATTTTTTGACCGCCTCTGTGGTCTAGTGGTCAGACTTATTGGCTACAGATCCAGAGGTCCGGAGTTCGGTTCCCACCGCTACCAGATTTTCTGAGAAGTACTGGGTTTGGAACTGGATCCACTCAGCCTCGTGAGGATAAGTAAGGAGCTATTTCAAGGAAACAGCGGCTCCGGTCTAGAAAAACCGAGATTAATGATCGTGGGAATTCGTTGCGCTGACCATGCGACACTCTCTATCCGCTAAAGTTGGCACTAACTTCGCCGACGAGCGGCGGTCGCTCGATCGGTATAGTTTGCTTGCGGGCTAAAACCACGGAGTTTTTTTTCTTTGACAATGATTTGATGGAAACAGAACTGCAGATTTGGTAAACCGGTTTACTTCAGTGGACTTCTTCAAAAGTCCGCTGTGCTCATTGTGATACGCAAGTAACAATGCCACATGCAGGGCCTATAACTTAAAAACAATAATGGCTGTTACTAAACCCATGTGGAGGCGGAGTCGAATACGTCCACCGTAGACCTGCGGTTCGTAGGAGGCGACAAAAAAGGAAGTCTTGAACCTGAGAGAGTATGACCCGAGAATGACTCCGCTGGCGAGAGCCAGCAGCAATTGTAAAAGACCGACCCGTCCTCTCATCAGAGAGAGCGTCTCACATCAACAAACCTGCAACTGTCTGACAGTAATAAAAATCTGGTTGTATGCCCCAAATGGGTGCTTTAGTCCAAGACTGACTGGACGACTGAGCGTCGGTCGTGACATAACTTTCACTCTGACTTGCGAGTTCTTACCAGAACTTGTTGGTAGTGCACTACCTGCTTCAAACACGTACACATTGTTGCCTTCTTAAACTTAAGGATCCGGCTGTGCAGAAATAGCAACAATAACTGTTACTGTAGTCCTGAAAGAAATGAAGACTATGCGTTCAGCAATCTGAAACAGGCTTCCATACATTTCGATAAACCTTCGTATCGCCGGAAGTAACACGTGGGTTGTCATACTCTTCTACGATTTTAAACTGAGTATCAGCTTCGCAGCAGAAACGCAGTGCTACAGTAGCGGGATATGCCTGGATGTGAGGATATTTCTATATTTCCGCCATCAGTGCTTCAAATTATAGCGGAAGAGCCATCACGTCTGGCTTGTACACAGTTGCACACGATGCGTGCGCAAACCCTGTTGCAACTATGGCCCTTTTCATCCCGTCTGTGGTTCGTCATTACCAGGGCCCGGATTTTGATGACCAGAAAATATTAAAAAAATGACCGAAAAAATCCAGAAAAATAACCTAAAGAAGAAAGAAAGAACACTTCGCTTCCATGTTATTCACATTTCAGAAAACATATGAAGAAAAATTCCCTAAAATGGCCAAAAATGACAAGAAATACCCTTAAAAGTCTAAAAATTTACCAAAAAATTACCCCCAAAAATAAAAAATGACCTTAAACCCAAAAATGTCAAAAAATGACAAAAAATTACCTATAAAATTTACATTTCTGTAACCAGCAGCTAATATCCGAGATTTATATATTTAAGAGCATCGCATAGGATACAAGGAAAAAAAGATGACATGTCATCAAAATCCGGGCCCTGGTCATTACATTATGTTGAAGTAGGCACAGCTCAGTCGATATAACAACGGGCTGGACGGTCGGGCTTCGATTCCCGGCAGAGATTTTTCTTCTCCACCGCGTCCATACCGGCTCTGAGACACACCCAGCCTTCTATCCAATGGGTACCTAGGGCGATTTCCCAGGGAGTAAAGAGGCCGGGGCGTGAAGCTGACGAGGTCAAGAATGGTGGAGCTATACGTCCACTCCTCCATACGTCTTCATGGCACAGTGCATAATTAAGTACAGGGAAAACTTTGCCTTGCCTTTAATTGCATCGGTTTCCCTCGACGCAGTAGCCCACGAAAGCTCTTAGTATTGTCACCACGGAAGTTGATAACTTTCTCCATGATTACGTAATTATAAACTCAACTCTGAATTGTATCAGCGGTTGTTTCAGATGTTTCATCCTTGACTGTGGGTGTGCCTAATAATTCAGTGTTTACACATATCACGGAATAAGCGACCTCCGTAGTCTAGGAGTAACGTTCCCACCTCATGACTCAAGGTACGCGGATTCAAACCCGGCGGAGGTCGTGGAATTTTTAAGGGCGGAAAAATTCAGGGAACAAGTCCTCCGGGTGGGACTTTAAGCCGTGGGTCCCGTGTCGTACATTTACGGCACGTAAAAGATCCTCATGTCTCTAGGAGACCTCTGAGCAAAATTAGGCAACAATTTCCCGCCCAAGTAGTTTCCAGTGCCTCTGGTAGATGGGGGAAATATCAGGTACCGACGGCCGACCTCGTTGGCTGAACGGGGCTGATAGCACGCACCAGTACCGGTAGGGTATGGCGACAGTAGAAATTAAATGGGGACGCACAATGGACCAATAACTGGTCAAAGTGCATGGGTAAACCCACCCCCTCTAATAATAATAATAAAATATCACGGAATGAAAAAAATCATTCTATTTAATGTTTGCTAAATGATTCCGCACTTACGGTAACAAATGTGGTTTCAGATGAGTCCTTAGACAATTCGTCATTAGCATGTGGACCAAGAGGATTTGGTACAATTGCGTCACTTTTTGTCTCTGTACAGAATACTTTCCATCAAACATGTGTGAAATAATTTCTATGTACAGTCAGTATAGCGGAAGGATAGGTACTTCTAAAGTTATCCCTGTAACAGGCCGTGGAGGCCCATAGGGATGTGAGATGTTGAAGTTCCCACATTTTCTAGACAATCGGCTCACAGATGGCGGTGAGTTTGTCAGCTTTACTCGCTGTCCGCCCTTTACCCCTCAAGAAGATTCCTGATACTCATTTCTGTTAGAGGCTGAGTCGGCCCCAGGGCCATAGTGCCTCAACATCTCACAACTCTACGGGCCTCCTTGGTCTGTTACAGGGATTGTCCTTTTCATGTTTCACTTCCACGCATCACAAATGGTTGTAATATTGTTCTGAATATTTATAATTTTCATTTCAACTTTCGTACAGGAATCCAGCACCTGGGTATGACAAGACATACATCATGTTTGATCTTACACTTGTACTTTCAGGATTTTAAATGGTTAAGTTATGGTCAGTTTGATGTAAGACTTGCTTGGGAGAGCCCTACAGTTAGTTATACAAACATTTGCGCTGAGCATATATGATGCATTGAGTTTTCTGCTTTATTCTATTCATTGCTGTTCTTGTTAAAGTTATTTTCACATTTCTTTTTATTGCTAGTGGAGTGGGACTAAGTCCCTTCTACTGCGGCCACTTCTGGCCTATTGTACCAGCCCCAGATGATAGGTGAGGGTGATTGTGGAGCAATAGGTGGAATGAAGATTGGCAGAGGAAACCGAAGTACTCGGAGAAAACCTGCCCCAGCGCCACTTTGTCCACCAGAAATCCCACTTGATCAGACCCGGGATCGAACCTGGGCCGCCGCGGTGGGAAGCCAGTGACTAACCACTTGAGCTATGGCGCAGCCTCTAGTTTTTAACTTACTTGGTGTCCTATACAATTAAAACCTTGTTCTTTATTACAGAAAACAATATTAGACAGTATACATCAAGATGATGATAGTTTCGAAGGTGATGGTTATACCAGTTTGGCAGTCATATATGCTGTGTTTGCTCTCTGCAATTGGCTTGCCCCTTCCATTATTAGTGTCAGTGGACCCAGGATAGCTATGCTAATAGGAGCAATTACATACTGGTAAGTTCAGCTCTGACATTTTATATAGTATTTATTATTATTATCATCATCACCGTGTCATATGGAATTACCTCATAAGATCTGTTTTTGTGTAATTTATCTTTCCTCTTTATTTGTAAGTTTGAATATGTTAATGAAACACTTAAAATTAATTGTAATATGTTCTTAACACATTGTATTCTCTATGTATTCATTTTATAATGAACTGTAAGTGTATACTAGTATTTAAGTTCTGCCTTATTTGATATTTGGGGCATGCAGTAGCGTAGTTGGTTGAGGCACTATGCTACAAGCCATAATGTCACGGGATCAAATCCTGATGAGGTGGATTTTTTCAGTTTACCTAATCCTTCCAGCCGCACTATGGCCCTGGGGTCAACTCAGCCTCTAATAGAAATGAGTAGCAGAAATA